GCACCAACGACATCATGGACATGGTGTCCAAGAAAGTGGCAAAGACTACACTTAGACTTAGCCATGAAAAATGGAATAAAGTTTTTAATTTTAATTGATGCAAGTAGTAAATGGGTGGATGCTTGGATTCTAAAATCAACCACTGCCAGTGATGTTATTGCTTGTCTAAGGCAAACATTTTCTATATTTGGGTTACCAGATGAGATACATTCTGACAATGGGCCGCCATTTAGTTCAGAAGAGTTTGAAATGTTTTGTAAAGCTCAAGGTATTAAAGTTCTAAAGTCCCCACCTATTCATCCGAAATCAAATGGAATCACTGAGAGAACTATTCAAACGTTTAAAAATAACCTGTTAAAACAAAATTTTGATGTGAAAACCTCAATTAAGTCAATTCAAGAAAAATTAGACAACTTTTTATTCTATTATAGGAATATACCACATAACATGACTCAAACCTCACCGGCTGAGTTATTGTTAAAACAAAAACCTCGAACCAGAATTTCGATGTTAAAACCGAATTTCAATAATTTTGTAAAAGATAAGCAAACTACATTCCTGGAAAAGGAAAATAGGGAGGTAGGATTGGCCAAATATAAAAGTTTCGTTGAGGGGGAAAAAGTCTATGTAAAAAATGTTAGGGGTGAAACAGCTAAATGGAGTTACGGGATAATTAAAGTTAGAGTTAGCCCAGTTACGTATATTGTTATGGTAGAAAATTATGCGAGACATGTGCATGTGGACCATTTAAGGAAGTGCGTTAATTATGATGATCAGTCAATTAAAGAAAGCACGCCAGTGGTATTAAGTCCCATGAAATCTTTAAATGGGTCACATGAGATCCAAAATTCATCTGAAGGGTCTAATTTACCTGAGTTATGTAATTTACCTGATGTATCAGATTTACCGAATAAGTCAAACAGTGAAAACTCTATTGAAGACAACCCTGAAAAACGGTTGTATAAAAATCAGGAAACAATAGAATTAAGGAGGTCTGTTCGTAATATTAAAAAACCAGCTAGATACTTAGATTAAGGAAAAGGTTGTTTTGTTTTAAGGGAAGAAAAATGTAGTGTATTAGTTTTAGTTACCTATTCTATGGTAGGGGACGGGTGGTAAAAAGTGAAGTGAGAGGTAGTCCGTTTTTAAGCGTAGCATGTAGCGTGTCTAAGTTGTATTTTTAACTTAATAAAAGTCTTAAAAAGAACCGTGTTTGTGAAAGTCACAACACAGTCCAATTTCGAAGACCAGTGCTGGTAATAAAAAACTAAAAACAGACAGTGGGAGTGACGTGCCTTCTTTACGTTTAGTGCAAAAATTGATTTCAATATATCAATGGTGCAAGTTGATCGGTGATGCTTCAAAGCCTCTTCTTCATTGCAAATACTGCACAGCATCTAAAAAAAGCAATGTACTTGCTTCAAAATCTGGTAAGCTACAGTACAGAGCCGAATTCAGAGTCCTTCCTAATTTTAAACTCACACTCAACTAGTTAGTCACTCATTTCTAACTCAAGTTAGTGCGAATCCTGCTCATTCTCACTTTTGGCATTCAGACAACATCTGTAATGAGTGACTAATTTGAGTGGGGTTTTAGTATGGAATCACTCAAAAATATTGTTAGGGGAACGATTGGTAGTGGAAATTTTACCAAGTAACTAACAATCCACTCTAGAAAAGCTAACTTCAGCATAAACAGATATTTAATTTAAACTCATTTCTGACGTTTTCGCAAATTTCATAGATTTTATTGGTCTTCCGTGTTCCCAAAGGGGGGTTTATTCTTATTAGTTTCTGTTATTCGGTTTATTAGTTTTGTTATTATTAATATTGTTCTTATCGTTATAACTATGATCTCCAATAAAAAACCTTTCATGACCGGCGATGAGATTTTTTTAAAAGAAATTGTGACCAGGTATATTAACATCGTCGAATGTAAAAAAACCGATGCTGTGTCCGTGTCAGAACGAAAAAAAGGCTGGCAGACAATCGCTCAAGAATTCAATTCTGTAGCAGAGCATTATAATGTGAGTATTTAATCATGTGTCTTTAAATGTTTCATCAGAACTGTATTGTAATCTTAATATTGCAGAGACTCCCTGCACAACTTCGAAAATGTTGGAAAAACATGAAAAGCCGGCGAAAAAAGCAGTTGTCGGAAGAAAAAGTAAGCCGAATGGCTACAGGTGGTGGAAAGTATAAACCCCCTAATGATGATGGTGACGCGATTGTGGACGATGTCCTTAATACAGTCGTCATCGAAATCAAGGATTCGATTGACAGTGACACCATTACAATCACGGGTGAATATGTGTTGGATAAAAGTTCACCCTTAGTGCCTGTTACTACGGAAGAGGAAGTTCAAGGTAATAGATTGTTAGCGCATTTTCCAAGAGGAAAATGAACGCTACTGCTCGCACTTTGTCCGTTTGTACCACTACTATTCCTCCAGTTTAAGCTTTTTCTTTGTGGTTTCTCTCTTATACGGTGTACCACCGCCCTGAGACCAGAATGACAAGAGATTTTTTTTGATTAGTCACTTCCTTCCCGAATTACGGCTGCTTGTTATTGACTCTGTGCGGGGAATACGCGCTCTCGTCGGTCGTGAGTGATCATGTATAGGTATACTAGTGTGTTTTGTTACCGTATGTTTAAAATTACTCAATGCCCGGATACTTCGCCCAACGACCACATCATCAACCTGTCTTTTAGTACCTTATCGCCCAACCTTTTTTTAAGTCCACTTCGTCCAATTGTTACGTACCACATCGCCCACAACGATTTAGTGGATGCTGTTTCTTAAATTCTCAACCATTTTTCAGATTTGCACCACACGGACATCGTGGTGGTACCATCCCACAGTAGACAGGAACCGAACAACACTATAATTGAAACCCCTAAAATAAAAACAAAGGCTTCGTTTACTTCTAAAGGTACTGCAATTGAACGCGAATTAGAAGCCCGCATCAGCAGATTAAAAAGATTGCATGAGCAGGACGAAGAATTACATAAACTAAAGCTGGAAGAGCAGCGTATTCGGATAGAAATTGCGAAGGAAACTCTACTACAGGAAAATATTAAAACCCAAAAATTATTGGAAGAAGATATCAATGGCGTTTTAAGACAATAAGTAATCACGACGCCGTTAATGTCGAAGAAAACAATGAGCATTGCTTTGAATTTGGATTTCGACATCCTTGCTTTTTTTCATTCTCGGAGTTTCAACATCATCCTGAAAAATCCAAGTTTCCTCGCATGTGATGACCTTTTCCAACAATCCAGGCTCTTCCACGAACCGTTCAAGAACATCTGAACAGATCTGGTGACGGACAAGTTTTTGTTCTGGGGTCAAGTTTTACGGTACGACGCGAGAAAAAAACACGCTGGCTTCAAAACGCAATAGCATAAATACTACTCAACGCACAAAAACGTCTTTCTGTACTGGAATAGGTGACACTCAGCGTTGCCAACTCTGTTAGGTCTCTCCCCTCTATAGAGCATTTTCGATTCCACTAGAATCTACTAAAAAGCTTGCCGAAGGCGTTGCGCGCCGCAGGCGAAAATTTTTTTGAATCTGGTAGAATTACTGGTAGATTCAGCAGTGGGAATCTACTAGAATATCTACTAGATTATGGTCATTATTTTCTCATACATTTTTTTTATTACAAACTACAAAAATTTTCTAATTTTTGGATACCTAATTTTATTTTGTAGGATCTGTGCAACAATAGGGTTAAAAATAAATTACTTATAAATTATAATTATATAGCTTATTATTTATTTGAAGAACTTACATAAATGTATAACAAAAATAAATTGTTAGAACATACTGTTAAAGTATAAATAACCAAACAAAACATTGCACTTCAAGAAACAGGGTTATAAACATAAAATTCAAATTCAAAAAATAAAACTTGAACATCCTAAAACTAAACAATGCAAAAATAATCTCACATCAATAACACATTGAGAAATTGTTCTAATGTGAAAACATACATAAATATAAAAAAGTGAGATTTTCTCATTCTTCCAATATCATATAATTATTAATATTCATTATATAACATCATCTGTCTCGGTAATAAATAAATCTAACACAGAATCATCGAGATCATCGGATTTGTACACTTCCATAGTTTTTATTTTATTTATAACGTCCTTTGGCATTTCATATGTATCACAGCATTTTCCATGTCGTTTCAAGCCAGCTCTGACAGACAAGAGAGCATTTAGCATAGGCAGTTGCATTCTATTGCGTAATTTGCTTTTGATAATGTTCATTGCACTAAACAGTCTCTCGACTTCAGCATTCGAATGAGGTAGTGTTAATATTGTCAAAGCAAATTTAGCCAACTCTTTAAACGGATTCTCGTTACCACTGTCCCTGTAAAGATTCACTTCACTCCAAAAGTCGTTTGTGTTAGATTTATTGTTCCACTTAATAAGGTTGATATTCATATATTGTGATTCAATTTTAGGGATTAATTGAGCAGGTTGTTTGAAAAAACAGAGCAATTCAGCAATGTTTTCTTTATCACACTTCAATGTATTTTCAACACTCAAGAGAGAAATTTTCTTCAACAGTTCAACATTAGTAGGTAGTCTCATTTGTATTTCCTGTATCAAATTGACAATAAAATGAATACACCTATCGCGTAAACATCGCTCTTCCTCTGCTGACAAAGTACCATTTTCTTTCATTTCTCTCACTGTTTTCTCGAATAAATATCCAAGGTAACAATGCTTATCAACAAAGTTGTTTATGTCCACAGTGAGTAAATCCAGTTGATGTCTTGGTGCAGTAACTCTTTTAATAAGGCTTTCTAGTAGAAGTAGAATGTCTTTTAATAATTTAGTAGGATCTACTTGATTCCCTTCAAACAATTTATTTACACGTTGCACATCACCTAGCACCGAACTGAGAAAAGCAATGTACGCGAAATTCTTGTTGTCATTGTACATTTGGTACAAAAGTTCAGCAGTATAAGAATTGTCTTTCACTCAAGACAGCTGAAAATGTAGTTTTAATGCATCCCACTGGTTTATAATTCGAGATACAGCCGATTCAATGGATAACCATCGTGTTTGACAAGCTCGCACTATTTTCAAAGGATTATGCCCTTCATTCATAGTGCTGTATATGTCATTATAGGCGCATTGCCTGGAGGACGATTTTGAAAACCACTTATAAGTTTCCTGAATGATAAATTCAATGTTTCTTGGCAACGTTTCCTTTGAGGCATGCGTGACTGCTAATTGCAACGAGTGACATACACATCGAATTAGAAGTAATTCAGGCACCTCTTCTTTTAACTTCACATACAAACCGTTGTTGGCACCTGTCATAACACTCGTATTATCTGTACCAATGCCAATTAAGTTCTGCAGGTTGAGGGAATATTTATTTAATGTTGTTTTGATGGTGTGTAAAAGGCCATCAGCATCACAGTTATCGAGAACGGCAAGATCAAGATAAGTCGTTACAAGCTTATTTTCTCGCTCACTAAAGTAAAGTATTATCATTCCTAAATATTTCCTCACCGTTATGTCGGTGGATTCGTCCAGCAAAAGACTAAATTTGGAATCACCAATATCATTTTTTAAATCATTGAAGAAATGTGGCGCTATTATATTTTGTATAATACCTGAGCACTTGGTACGATGCATTTTAATATGTGTGGAAGATTGTCCTTCGAACGTCTTTTTGCATGTGTTGACGAGATGATCAACCACACGCACTGATGTGTGCTGAGCTACAAACAAGCTTAGTTTTAGTTCCGCCTGTTTTGCTGCAAACATTTCCGATTCCCCTGGAAACTTCAATTGAGGTTGAGGGTGTGGTCCCAATATAAGTTTTGCATTCTTTTTGTGTCTCATAGAAGCACCATGATTCTTGAGATCGGCATATCGGCTGGTTACAACGATGTTGCAAACTCTGCATTTTCCTGTAGTTCCTGCTGTACTCTCAACTGCCACTAACCAATCTTTTAGAATGGGATCCTTGAGCCAAGCATGTCTAAACTTTTGTTCGTATTGTGGTTTCGGCATTTTTAATTCTGAAATCAGAAAGTCTGTGATTATGGGAGAAACGAAACAAAATACCCAAGATTAATATTTTTCAGAAAAAATAATTAAGTTAAATTAAAAATTATTATGAATTATAAATAATAAAGAGAATATTGGTAAGCATGGGATACGCAAATGCGCGTACTATCTGAATGTACCCGGTTGGAAGTACATATTTTTAATACGCCTATTCGAGACATGCGGAACGAAAAATTTAGTAAATACTCTTTTAAATGAATTTAAAAGAATTTGCTGTATAACACGTGTATTCATGAAGCATATCTGAGGGTGACAATTTATAAAAAAGCACAGAAGAGACAAAAACGGGCACATTCTCAATTTTTGAGTTGATAATTTAAAATAAAATAATTTAAAGGTTTGGGCATATTTCTACGGGTTGGCACCACCGTGGGATAAAACTAACTATTGCTTGAAATGTTTGGATTTGTTTTTATTAAGACTATTTGTAAAATTATCAATTATATACGTACCAATATTTGTGTACCATAAATTAGAACTGGACCGGAAGCGACGAGGAAACCACTATCGTCGCAGGTGGCAGGTCTGCGATGCAATGTAACGTAATTACGTAACTAATGTAAATGAAGCGCAACTGCGCAAGCGATTTCCACTCCAAGGACACGGACGCACTTGCTTATCACGTGTTCGGTCGTTCGGAAATCGGAGGAGACCAGAGACCACGCCACGTGCCTCCCTTTGTAGTTTGCAAATTGTAAACATGCAATGCAAATAATCAACTAGGATTTCTATTTTTACTCGTTGGAACTGCAAACTACTAGATTTTTTACCAGACGTTTTGTTGAAATTACTAGAAAATCTACCAGAAAAATTTCACCACTAAATGGACATTCAAATCTACTAGATCTAGTAGAAATTCTACTGATTTGGCAACGCTGGTGACACTTCAAGGTTTCCTACGATGTGTTCGTTTCCCTCTCTACACTTCTGGTACGCGTTCTGCGCGCGCACTCTCGTTATATAATAGCCGGACCTCGTATCCAAGATTTCACAACGAGGTCCAGCAACTACTTGGATATTTAACGACATCCATCCTTTACGGTTCCGATACACTTCTGCATTTGGTCCTCCAGGACTTTTAATTTCTATGTGGGTTCCATCAACGCATCCGATGACACCAGGAAATTCCGCAATTGCAAAAAAGGAATTTTTAATGTTAGTAAAATCAACATTATTATTAGGGAATTTGATGTATCGTGCGAGATGCCTTGTTAATTGTTCACTGACTTCATGAATAATTCGAGAAACTGACGACTGGCTTACAGATAAAAGGTCACCACAAACCCTCTAAAAATAGTTATAGAATATAACCCACAAACCTTTTAGCAATTATGAGACATACCTGGTAGCTTCCAGTTGCAAAAAACCGCAGTGCTAAATACAGCTTTAAAATAGGTGGAACTGGAAGTCCACGGTTATTTTCATGTTGTCCTTGTGGGTATACCATGGGTAAAAGTATGTCTGTAATAGTATGTCTTGAGAAGCGTACTCTTTGCAATAGCTCTGTATTTGTATACATTTCTAGCGGATTGTGGTTATCTCGCAAAATATTTAAAAAAAATTATATTAAATATACATTACTTCTCATAAAGTATTATTTATTACCTTGGTACTGGTAAATACGCGTCTTCATAAATGTAACGAATAGCAGCTTCCCAATCATCATCCATGTTGACATTTGTTACCGTTAAATATGTACATATACCACAACTACTACTATCGTGTCCTTAATTACTTACTAAGATAATGTCTATAACACACACTTAAAAACTACTTTGCAATCAAATATTCTAACAAACACAGGAAACACATTTGATATAACCAAGTTATTTTAAATTAGTGACACTTAAGGGTAGTCCAAAGCTGACTTACATCGCACTCGTCTCTTACTCACTAGTTAGTAAGAATTTAGTCACTCATTGAGTCTAATTTGTTTCTGAATACCAATCTCGGAGGTTAGGTTGAAATTAGTAGGATATGAGTGCGAGTTTGAAATTAGGAAGGACTCTGAATTCGGCTCTTAGACTTAGGACTTAGTTTTAGTAGGCTTTTAGTTTTCGTATCCAACTTAATTTAGAAAAAGAAACTTAACTTAGACATATTGCCCTACGACTAATTAAAAAAAGTAAAATTAAAAAAGCTCTTTCAAACATTTTGTTATGAAAATTGACTAAACTAACAGGCCTAAAACAAAACTCATTTTTAATTCCTTGTTTTATTATTGCAGGGTATTTTGTGATAAAAGTTGATACTTTAAGGAAACATGAAAACAATATTGATCATTTACGGGCAATGAGTGAAATTTCAGATCAAAAACAGTTTGAACAGTCTGTAACTTCTGCCAATTCAAAAGCTGATGCTAGTATCAGAGCTGTGATGAAAATTGTGTACACAAAGGCAAAAGAACATTTAACAACAAGAAAATTTTCAGTGCTAAAGGAATTGTGAGTTGAGTTCGAGTGTTCTGATTTAACTTCATTGAATGTCGACAAACATACAAACTATGAAAGCTGCGATAGCGTTCACGAAATGGAAGAGGCTATTAGTAAAGCGATATGTCAAAATATTGTAAGGAAAATTAAAACTGCCAAGTGGTTTTCAGTGATGATAGATGAATCCACTGATGTATCTGTGACTCCAAATATGATTGTTTACATTAAAGTAGTAATACTTTACACTCACTTTTTGGAGTTGCCATGACAGGTTCAGTGGTGGACTGGGCTGGCGGGCAACCGGGCAAGTGCCCGGTGGGCCGCCGTACTTTGGGCCGGCGCCGGTGCGGTCGTCGGGTGTCGTCTACCGTAGGGCCGTAACTTGTTAACGATAAAATTCAGTCTTGAAGACAGACAAACAGTCTATGACATTTTATACTTAATACTATACTTCAAAGTAAGACTAATTTAACGTATTTCAATTTGCGGAATTTGTGTGTTTATTGTCCGTTTGCACCCACAAATTTAAGCCGAGCTTAACCTAAGTGCAGCAGGTACCTACTGTTTGTTCATAAAGCACAACCAGTACACGACTGCATTGCACGTGCATTCACTGGGTGTTTCACGTGATTTCTGCGAATATTTTCTTAATATATAAATTTGTATTAACATTATCAACTACGCAAGTCCAATGCGAGAGAACCTTTTCTAAGTTGAAAATTATAAAACATCGACGGAGAAGCAATATTAAACAAGACAATTTGGAATCTTTAATATTAATGAATGTAGAAAAGCAAATTCTAACTGAAGTTGAAACGGACAAGATCATTGAAGAAATATTTACTTTGGCTACTAGTATTAAAATGTATTTAAATGGGTAATATATAGATGTAAAGTATCTGTGATTTGTGAAACAAAAAAAATCTTTCTCTTCTATGCTCACATTATTATCAAGTAAAAACTCCTAAACCCCCCAAAAAAACTACATTTGTAATCGATTTTGGAATAAGTGCAAATGCTTTAAAATGTTATTTTAGGGGGTTACTTTGGAGAAAAATTTCGGATATAACCAACCCCCCGTTATGTGGTCGGTGCTGTTCGGTTGCCCGGGCCAGTTCAATTTGCCAGTCCGCCACTGGACAGGTGTCAGGCTCTGTTTAGAAAAGATAATCCGTACCTATATGTTGTCAATTCACTGTGTTGCCCATAGGCTTGCATTGGCTGTTAGTTATGCTGCTAGTGATCCAAATATTTACTTAAATATGAATGTATTTTAAACCAAATTTAGTTATTTTGAGCAGTCTCCTAAAAATACAAACCTTTTAGAAAATACTCAAGCTCTGTTAAACGAACCAAGGGAAAAATTTGTACAAACTTTTACAACAAGATGGTTGTCTTTAGGTGAATCAGTTACATCAGTTACAACCAACTGGAAATCACTAGTAACTTTACTAATGACTGACAATAGGGCAGTGGCGAGTGGTATTTTAAAGCAAATAACTTCTTACAGATTTTTAGCCACAACAGCTTTGATGAAAGATGTTATGTTTATAATCAATACCTTTTGTTTGACTTTCCAAAGTGTAGACTTTTTTAGTGTTCAAACAGGAGTAGAATCATGCATATGGAGTTTGGTAGAGACGGAAACAGTAGATGGTCCTAACCTGGCATCTTTTTTAACAAATGTGCCAGCTGATGTAAGCGATGAAGGCTTCACCTTTCTAGATAATTTAGTGAGGGATTCCCAAAAAGAGAGAAATGAGTTTTCAGTTTCAGGTATGAAACAGAAGTTTTTAAAAACTTTGATCCATAACCGTAATGAAAGATGAGGTGATTTTGAAAACATTAGTTTATTTAATATTTTAGTTCCTGAAAACATTGTTGACAATATTGGCAATGCTAGTTATGGAGTTGAGCAGATAGTCAATAATTAAGCTTTTACAACCATCCCCCTATGGGCCTTTTGATGAAAGTAAAGTGTTGACTGAGTGGAATTTATATAAAAAGATCATAAGTTCTAGGTGCAAAACAAAACATTTTTAGACACGGTTTTGTTTATTTCCGCTAATGACTTATGGGAACATTACCCGTCCATTACTTTAATAGTAGAATATGCAGCTACTGTTCCTATGTACACTGTAGATTGTGTTATGTTTTATCGCCGCTTTGGCGATAACGCATAAGAATTCAAACACGGAAAAAATAAAAATTTAATAATTCACTTATAAGACCAACTGATACACCCTGGCAGTTACAAGCTAACAATATATATAGGTCTAGATCTAGGGATAAATGCAATAATTGTTATAATCCGCCTAATACGCCGCCGGCGGGACTTAAATGTCTAACACACAAAAAAATATACGCAGGCCCGTTTTCACACACCCATGCACCCCTCCACATACACACATGCAACAAGTAAGTACCACACCACAACAGCCTTTATAAATTGGCTACCAAATACACCTCAATACAAGAGGGATGAATTGATCCGAACAGATCTAGTTTAACAAAAAAAAACTGGCTCTTACAATACTGAGCTGCTCGTGGTTTGGACACCGATGCATCTCTTTCCAAATAGTGATGCACCCTTGATAGGTTGTCGTGGTGATCAGAACTCAAGGTGTACACCAATTGAAACTCTGCTTCGTTTCTGACTGCAATAGGCGGGAATCCAAAGCGTCAAGTGAGTGAATTTAGCAGTTCCCGTATGGTAAATGACTACTCCTTAGTCCTTTCGGTGATGGCGGCTCCTGTCTCCCAATTATGTTGTGCGTAAATTCCGCTACCCCAAAATTACGGCTCAAATCGGAAACAAGTCTTCACAAAGCGATTACTTTCGCAACCAGTCAATTTAAACTTTTCCCCAAATGAATGGGGCAACAATTAATTTAAACTTTTAAACCTAAAAAACAAACTACAATTAAACCCACGAAATACTACACGATTAAAGCCCCCCTTTTTTATGAAACTTACCGCAAAACAGCGGCTCGCCTACTAATTTTCAAATCCAATGAATAATTATCGCCTTAGTAACTTTAATTGCGATTTCTGAATCTATAAAGTGCGCACGGCTTCGCAAATCTCTTTCTCTCTGCCCACAACTGCCTTACCCAAAGCAGCGATTATAAACGCAATTTTCCCCAAGGTCCCACTGTATTATCTAAACCAGTCTACGAATGCGACAAACCAACTTACATAGAACATACGAGGGGCATACAAAATGTACACAGCACAAACGTGATACGTTACAACTGTGAGAGGGGCTTTATAAAAACTATGTTAGAAATAGGATTAGTGTTAAAAATGTTAGTAATTTGGTTATATCATAACCGTGGAAGGCCAGAAAGGAAGGCATTTGAT